TAGTCAGGTCTCAAGAGGGGGAAGGGGTGACTCTTTGTGTCTTTCCTGCAGGCGGAACCTTAGTGTTGAGGGCGGAACGTTGTGTGCGAGTGTTGTGTTCCCGGCGGGGCGGAGCTGAGCGTACAGGCCTGCAGGGAGGAGAGACCGGAAGTGGAGCCCGGGGAGAGCCGAGGAGACACCAGACTGTACCGATCCAGGTATGTGTGTGCTGGAGGGGAGCCAAGAGGACCTGTGTCTGTAGAAGGAGAGGGGGAGCCGTTCCTGAGCGTCCATCAGTGAAGAGGACCTGTCTGTGTGAGAGGTAGAGTGTGTGGAGGCGGGGGAAAAGAGGACCTGTCTTTTGAGCACCATTGTACCTGAGTGTGTGTATAATGGACCTGTCTTTATAGAGGAGAAGGGATCAATGTGTAAGATGATTGGTCTTTATAGTGGAGGATGGATCGGTGTGTAAGAGGACCGGTCTGTATAGAGGAAGTGGGATTGATGTGTAAGAGGACCAGTCTGTATAGAGTAGGAATCTGAATTCTAAGATGACCCTTTTGTATGGACAAAGAGGGGTTGGTGTGTAAGGGGACTATTCTGTATAGAGGGGGGATCGGTGTGTAAGGGGACCAGTCTGTATAGGGGAGGGATCGGTGTGTAAGGGGACTATTCTGTATAGAGGGGGAGGGATCGGTGTGTAAGGGGACTATTCTGTATAGAGGGGGAGGGATCGGTGTGGAAGGGGACCATTCTGTATAGAGGGGGAGGGATCGGTGTGTAAGGGGACTATTCTGTATAGAGGGGGAGGGATCGGTGTGTAAGGGGACTATTCTGTATAGAGGGGGAGGGATCGGTGTGTAAGGGGACTATTCTGTATAGAGGGGGAGGGATCGGTGTGTAAGGGGACTATTCTGTATAGAGGGGGAGGGATCGGTGTGTAAGGGGACTATTCTGTATAGAGGGGGAGGGATCGGTGTGTAAGGGGACTATTCTGTATAGAGGGGGAGGGATCGGTGTGTAAGGGGACTATTCTGTATAGAGGGGGAGGGATCGGTGTGTAAGGGGACTATTCTGTATAGAGGGGGAGGGATCGGTGTGTAAGGGGACTAGTCTGTATAGGGGGGGATCGGTGTGTAAGAGGACCTATCTGTATAGAGGGTGAAGGATCGGTGTGTAAGAGGACCAGTCTGTATAGAGGGGGAGGGATCGGTGTGTAAGGGGACCATTCTGTATGTGGGGATCGGTGTGTAAGAGGACTATTCTGTATAGAGGGGGGATCGGTGTGTAAGAGGACCAGTCTGTATAGGGGGGGGATCGGTGTGTAAGAGGACCTATCTGTATAGAGGGGGAAGGATCGGTGTGTAAGAGGACCTATCTGTATAGAGGGGGAAGGATCGGTGTGTAAGAGAACCAGTCTGTATGGAGGAGGAGGGAGGGGTCGGTGTGTAAGGGACCATTCTGTATAGAGGAGGAGGGATCGGTGTGTAAGAGGACCAGTCTGTATAGGAGGGAGGGATCAGTGGGTAAGAGGAACGTGTGTAATATGTGTTATCGGAGATCCTCATCTGTCTGTCTGTTTGCAGCTCCGCGTCCGTCTGTCTGTATGGTCAGGATGAGCAGGTAACGTGCTGCTTCCCGGATCGAATTGCCATGTCCGACACCTCAGTTTCGGCAAGTGAGCCAGAGCTGGATCCACAGGAAGAGGAGGAGGAGGAGGAGGAGGAGGAGGAGGACGATGATGACGATGAAGATGATGAAGCCGATGAGGAAGATGGGACAGATGAGGAGAATGACGGAGACGATGAGGACGAGACACCTAAGAAAGGTAAGTAAGAGTAATCGGTGTGCAGGAGGCTGTGTTTGGCTCCTCCCACTTCTCGGCATGTCATCGCTGAAATGTGGGAAACAATAATTCACCGTCAGAGTCCGGCCTGCGAGACCCAAAGAAACAGCAAAGCCCTCAGATGATAGACACCTGGTACAGGGAGCATACACGCATCATACCCGGCCTGGTTCCAGTTCTGGTGGTGGGATCCCGACATGTCTACCCGGCCTGGTTCCAGTGCTGGTGGTGGGATCCCGACATGTCTACCCGGCCTGCCCGGCCTGGTTCCAGTGCTGGTGGTGGGATCCCGACATGTCTACCCGGCCTGCCCGGCCTGGTTCCAGTGCTGGTGGTGGGATCCCGACATGTCTACCCGGCCTGGTTCCAGTTCTGGTGGTGGGATCCCGAGAGCTCTCTCCGGCGCCGTAGTTCGGTGACCCGGAGCCGTGGCGTTTGCTGCCTGTACTCTCTCTGTACGAGTTTTCCTTATAAAGCGCTCGGCGGTTTCTCTTTGCGTTGGGCAGCAGAAGACGTTCCTCTCATCACACGCTCGGCTGCGGGTTGTGGAAATCTCATCCATCGATGGGCTGGACCTGGGTGGACTTTGTTGTTGTTATCAGCGGGTAGGGGGAGCCGCCGGAGTGCAGATCAGGTCCAGGTGATCTCTGTAGTGTCCAGCCTGAGGCCGTCCTTAGGGCAGGACAGCGACTTTGAGGTCTGGGGGACTTAGGTGTTGTGGGTGAGGGGCTGAGACTTCTCTGTACAGTCCTCCAGCAGAGCAGAGTATATCAGGAGAGGAGAGTTATAGAGGAAGGAGCAGAGTCCTCCGGCAGAGTCCTCCAGCAGAGCAGAGTATATCAGGAGAGGAGAGTTATAGAGGAAGGAGCAGAGTCCTCCAGCAGAGTATATCAGGAGAGGAGAGTTATAGAGGAAGGAGCAGAGTCCTCCAGCAGAGCAGAGTATATCAGGAGAGGAGAGTTATAGAGGAAGGAGCAGAGTCCTCCAGCAGAGCAGAGTATATCAGGAGAGGAGAGTTATAGAGGAAGGAGCAGAGTATATCAGGAGAGGAGAGTTATAGAGGAGAGGAGAGTTATAGAGGAAGGAGCAGAGT